AGATTTTAAGCTTTGTCTTTTTATGTGGTATTTGTAATGTTGGACATAAGCTTCTAAAACTGAATATTCTGAATAATTTTTTTTAAATTTCTTAATGATGCAGAGCTTATGTATGTTAATGTTGTTAATGGTCCCTTAATTGTATTTAGTGAATTTTTAAGATTTTTATAGAACATGTATATTAGAGTGGCTAATATCATCTCCTTAAAATACTCAATATCTGCCTACTCAGGACTTTTGAGAATCTTGGCATCAAGATACCTACCAGCATTCCAGATTTTTGTGTGCATTTGATTTCTGCATCATCTTTTATGAATCTGTTTGCATCAGTTATTTTGTGGCTGCTATTTTAACTGTAATTTTCTACCTGGAAGTAGGCATTGTTGTGCCCTACTTCAACCAGTAAAACTTATGAAGAAGCTTTTGAGATATTGCTTCAGTAATTAGTACTTTGTCATAAGTAAATGATACAAGGCTGCTGGCTTATCTTCTGGCCCAGTGAACTTTCATTTATTTTTTGCTTTCCATTGTTCCATTGCAGCAGATACTACTGATGACTCTTAGAAGCAAACCACAGTCAACCATGAGAAAGACACAGAAACGTGTGTGCTGCTGGTGTATCTATAGGGAGAATAGGAGTCCATGTACCTCTTTCTTACCTAGTTCTCCTAAAGTGTTTTAATGTTATTTCAAAACACATTGTGAACTGTATGTGTTGCCCCAAATAGCCATTTCAAGTTTTTTTTTAAATGCCATTTGCCACCAGATAACTACATTGACTTATTGGAAACTATAGAAAAAAGTCCTGAAGTAATTATACCCTTAAAATTATCAGCTATTAATCTATAGAAAAGATGCTTCTTCAGTGATTTTATTCTTGTTTTCTGTATAATTTTTATTCCTAATTTATAGTATGTTTCTATGTATTATTTTTTTCATGTTGTTAGGAAATACTTCCAGTTTTCCCATCTTTTGCAATTTCTATCCAAAGTTTTAAGGTAAGATTTAAGTAACCTTGAATGAGTGACCTATTTTAAATATTCTACATTCTGTAGCTTGTTAGCCATTCCTTTGCATGTGTTGTCCTTATGTATACATTTCTTTTACTACCTTGGTCAATGTTAGTTCTTTTTCTTTCTAACAGAACAAATAACATGCATATGTTATTAAATATTAGCGACAGTCTAAATCACTTCCATGGATTTTTCCACTAATCTTCAATTATGAGACCACATCAATTAACTTCTTTTTAACACTTAACAGCACTAATAAAAAAGAATTATATTAGGTATGTTTGGTTTCTTGAAATAAATCTTGAAACAAAGATTTATTTTTATGCCTTATAATATTAAGTAGGGAATAATCAAAAAAGGTGAGTATCACTTCATTTGTCAGTCTGAGGTTCCCAACATCTCTTTTTGCTCAGTAGTGAATTACATAGTTTAATAAAGGACATAATAGGTGCTAAAAGTATTTGTGGACTGAACCACTTTAAATTCTTGCTTACACCTAAATTATTGAGTATTTATTCTACACATTAACTTTTTCAGATTTTTAAAAATATTTTACTTGGGCCTGGGGTTAAACATCTAAGAGTACCGAAGACTTTATGCCAACATTGGAGTAGAAAATGAGAAGTACCAATTTCATGTCAAATATTAAATTAATTTTATTTTATGCTTCATGAAGCGTAAGTTTGTGTTATTTTTGTTCTTATTTGAGAGGCAGTGGGGAGAGAAACAGAGGGTAGTGGAGAGAATGGTAACAGTTTAGCTCTTGGAACTTAGGTGATCTTTTGTGGCCAAATAGACCCCAGGTCTTTTGAATGCATGTGAAACTTACCAGTTGAGGAGAAGCCAGTAGACTAATGATTTCTGGGACTCTAAATATTGTTTTGGACTCTAAATATTGTTTTGGACTTCATTTTCCTCTTAGAAAAGAGAATATTGAATGTCTAAATAGCGACATCTCTCTTACCTTTTGCAATTTGCTTGATAACTTTCCTACCACCAGAAAGTCATTTGCTGAATGGACTGTAATAAGTTATTTTAAGGACATAATCCTCCAATGACTGTGTGAAGTAATTTCAATTAGTAACAAACAGCTGTGCTTGGGGCTAGTCCCAAGTGTATTTTAGATGCAGAGCCTAATAGTGAAGTTGCACACTCACATCCTCAGGTTCAGGTGTAGTGAGTGCTTCCATTGACCTCTGATACTTGGGAGATAGACCAAGAACGTTTATTTGTTCCTCTGAGCTCATTATAATGCATTATCAGTACTTTTCTAGGCACAAAAAAACATCCTATATATAACTCTAATTTTTTTCACCTCATCATTCAAAAGAGCCATCATGGGAAGAGCCAAAACTTTGCAGTGTCTGGGTCTAGTCTCATTTCTTTCTCTTAGTAACTATGATATCAATTAATCATTATTATATAACCATATGTTGCATGGTCCTGAGGACCAGACACTGTTAGGCACTGGAGATAAAATCATAGGTGATGGGTTTGTAATTAGGGGGATAAAGAGATAATTAAGGAGACAAACACAATGGCATGTATTTGGGTGCTGCACAGGATCCAGGATCATAGGTTCCTCCGTATGTGGTTCCTAAAGCAGCATATCAAGGTTCACCTGAAAACTTGTTAGAAATGTAAATTCTCTTGGATCTTGCTCAGATCTACTGAGCCAGAAAACCTGTAGATGTGTCCAGCTATCAGGGTTATCACACCTCACGATTATGTAGTGCCTCCTAAAGTTTGAGAACCATTAGTGTAGAATAGAGACCTCCTGGCCCCAAGAGGCAAGACTTTTTCTGAGTCAGGAAAAACACTCCAGAGAATGTCCAGGGAGAACTGGGAAGACATGTGTTTAGGCAGAAGACAGCTACCACTGTAAGACCACAAAGTGAGACAAGTTAAGGATCACGTCAATATTGTTTGCCAGTCTCTGTCCTTGGGTGTCTAACATAGATAACCTCCAGTTGTCTCCAAACTATAGGAAGGATTGTGGTAATTTTTCAGATGATGATTCAACATCAGGGAAAGTAAAAAATAAAGAAAGATGTGCCAAGGTCACAGAGCTGATGCACTGCCAAATCAGATGCCAGTTTTGCCTGCCTGTATAGAGCCTGCAGACAGTTATTTTAAGGACAATCCTCCAATGACATTTGACCTCTCCATGAGGAAAATCATGTTACCTGTGTCATAGGACTGAGAGCAGCAAGTGAGATCCTGTAGTTAAAAGCCATTAATTGCAAGTGCCAAAAATCACACTAAATGTTCATTATCGCTTTGGCATTCTTAAAAGTTATGAAATTAGATGATGAAATTAAATGATGCAAAATTAGAATGTTTTTCCTAAATCAGTGCTATAATGCCTCCTATTATTATTTGTGTAACCAAATGTATAAATTAAGCTGGATGTATTTTTTCAGCAGATAATTTGGTAACTCTCTTATGGGAACTATACGGCATGGATCTAGGAATATGATATTAAACAAGATAAATATGTTTTTTATTTACTTGGAGCTTATGTTATATTGAATATAGGCAATTTATCCAACATTATTCTAATTGCCACTCCTTGAATTTGGTCAAAGTTAATACTACCCAGAATAGTCCACTGGGTAACCAATAGCTTGGTTTGGGACGTAATCCACAGGCCTATGTTTTCACTCCAACTATTGTTCTTTCTGATTAATTTTGGATGTAGGACCTTCTCTTTGGATCACATTTTCTTTGTTAGCTTAGTGTTACTTGAGGGGGAAAAAATAGAGTTGGATAATTTTGGTATTACCAAGATAATTAAAATATTTTTCCAGAATTAATTTTGCTTCTTACAGTTCAGAAGGAGTGGGAGCAAGGAGACAGAAAAATTTTCAAAGACAATTGGGATGTATTACATATTAAGTCTTATTGGTAATTGAATAAATACACAGTTAGTAATAAAATTGCAATGTGTTCTGGTTTTCAGAGAGAAGACAGACTAATTTTGAAGGAAATGAAAGTTTGGATAGAACAATTTGAAAGAGATTTGACGAGGGCACAGATGACAGAATCAAATATGCAGGATAAGTATCAGGTATGATATAGGAAAGAGATTTCAATTTTTAAAAAACCTTTCATGGATAAGATTTATATGTCATTTAATCTATATAATGTCTCAGGTTATATTGAGAAAATAGAATTAGGAAGTAATGTGCACATAAAATAAATTTGTACATAATATAATAATTACATTTCTATCTGTTTAGGTAGCTTTAAGTTGAGTTGTGTCCACACTCCATATGGAGCTCTGAGGTGTCATCGCTTGCTAGACACAGCGTCTTAGAGGTGGCCCAGAAAAGTACCTCGGAGTCATTGTTTTTGTAAAACTTATGGTTTTACAGATGTCACATAACATTGAAAGTCCACCAAAAAGAAATGAATAAATAAGTGACTCGAGTCAAATAAAAATTACACTAAGATAGGCTGAATTTAATAAGGGATTGCAACATGAATATTTGGAATAGGTTCATTAAGGCAATCAATTTCAACACTAGTTCAACACTATTGCACTCCAGTTGAGGTCAGAGTTGTTGTTACACCCAGTCTCATTACACTGTCATTAATTGGACTTCTGCTTCTAATTTTCACTTCCAAGACACAAAGTCTGTAGCAGGTTTTTCCCATTAAAAAGTTGTGATTTATTCTATGCAGCATTGTCATTTTCCTTCTATTTAAAAATACCACTTCATTTTAGTGGAAAAATTAAATTTGATGTATTTTGGATTATATTCTATAGTATGTTCTACTCTATATTTTAGTCATTTTGGCTGCATCAAAGGGTACAATGATATGAGAGGCTCAACATGTCATACAAAAGATTAATCTATGATGATAGTATGTCATTTCAAGTAAATATGCACAAATTTAAATGGATTATAGTATTATTATTCTATTTATTGAACTTGGCAAAATGATAAATATGTGCTTATTATCCATGTACTATTTGGCTTTGAAACTCAATGTAATCTTTTAAAACGATAAAATTTGGGGGCATGAGCTCCCCTAAGAAGTGTTTGAGTTAATAAGTTGAGAAAAACAGACTGAATACACTTACTGAATCTCCATTAGTGAGTTTAATTTGAGCATAAAAATATAAAAAAATTCAAGTTACAAAGTACCTGTTGTACAGATATGATTTTGTGAGAGGAAAACAGTTGCTAAGAAAAATATAAAACACAAAAAAGCAGCACTTCTTTTGAGCCACAGTTGATTGCTATATGTTTAAAAATGGATAGTGACCACCTGAAATCTGTATACCAGGGAAATTTTCTTACATATCTGTATTATATAATCAGCACTTTCTTTCTATTTCAAGAGCAATAAATACTATATTTTCTATGCACATGCTTTCATAGATTTTGTTCATTTGTTTTGGCTTTTTGTGATGCTGGGGATCAAACCCACTAAACCCCCAAAATGCTTTGTTAATATTTAAATTACATTAAGTTACAGAGAACAGAAGATGAAACTTGTAGTAAAATTTTTATTCACCATCTCCCCCCAGTGTTCTGTGTGTGAATTTGCACGTTTGTTTGTAATTTTGAAGTTTTTTTAAGATGTGTCATCTACTAGACTCTCTAGGGCCTTTCTTCTGCTCTGTTACATAATTGCACATTTTAATGGCATATTCCATTCATAATTTGGATTTAGAGTCACACTTTGGGGTACGATGGTTTAATGTAAAATGTAGAAATTTGAAGACTTTTTTGTTAACATATGGGTAAGCTTACATATTATAAGTTCACTTTAATCATTCTGTGGTATATCTGATAATACCAAAATATTAAAGGATTATTATGTAAATGAGATCCCCTAAAATAGATCTACTAATCCAGGCTTGTTTGAACTCAAATTTATATATCTTTAATTCACTGCTATTTTCATATATGCAATTTTTTTCTTGTAAATTGTTTTGCACCTTGGAATGAAACACTGGTGTTCTTGATTATTAGCAATGATTTATATTCTTGTTTACTATTCTTTCTTGACAAATATAGAATGGTATAAAAATTACTTAACTAGCACTGAGAAATCTAGCCTGTTGTCCGACCTCTACTATGTGGCTCTGCCAAGTCACTTGTGGGCTTCATACTGGTAATTAGTGTCTATGATGTAGGGTTATGGAGAGACCCAGTGAGCACAATATGTAGAAAGTATTGGGCATAGGTTCAAGCTCTGAGTACAGAATCAATGATCACTGCTATTACTTTTATCAGTGTCTATTATCAATAACAGACATGCAGTGCTCTCTAGACATAAAGGATGACTATTTAGGAGCTGTGGTTTCCTTTGCTTTTGCTTTCTTTGACTCATTGCCCTATTTTTTTCTGTTTTTCATCTTTTAGTCATTTAAACACTTCAGAGTCCAATATGAAATAAAAAGGAAACAGATTGAACATTTAATTCAACCATTACACAGAGATGGTAAATTGTCACTTGACCAAGCATTGGTAAAACAATCCTGGGACAGAGTGTCCTCCAGGGTAAGTTTCTACATGATTAATCTCATCAGGGCTTTTGTAATCTAGTCAAGAATATGTTCATCATCTTTCTCTACCCAGCGCTGTTTCACCAGGCCCTGCTGCCTCTGTCTGAGACTGGGAAGGGTGAACTACAAAAGATCTTTGCTTTGTCAGGTTTTTCTGTGCACTAGGGGGAGCCCTTGGGTCAGCAGCTATTTTCCTGCCTGGCTTATCCTACCCCTGCTAGCTTTTCAGTATTGGTAGACTGAGTATCCTGGAAGAGCTTCTAGATTACTTCTCACCATACAAAACTTAGTTCTGGGTTGTTTAGAAAAGGTGACTTGTTTAGAAAAGGTGACTTGTTTTGTAGAAGATTTCCAGGGATAGATAGTCGACTACTTCTCATTCTATAATCACTTTTCATCAATAGTTAAGGACCTTACATGCTGACATACAACCTTACATGCTTGAATGAGAACATTTCTTCTTATCTGGCCCCTTGTGAGTCTGAAGGAAAACTATTCAGTATCTTCATAGCAACATTCTGCATGCTTAAAGGCCAAGATTTCAAACCTCTGGACTTCTTCTACCATCTGTAGGAATATTTGGCTTAAATTTGCCATATGCTGTTAATTTGGATAATCTCCCTTTTGACCATTAACTCCATCAAAGAATAGTGCAGTTCCCAAGTACCACAACCATCCTACCTATACAGACACAGTACAGTAAGAAATGGTGCTTGAGAATCAAGTAAAATGGAAGAAATGAAGAGAAGAAATCACAGACTTCTAGAAAGAATCGTCATATCTGTGTCTAAAGCTGTCTAGATAACCTTCATTTTTCTAGGAGGTTTAAATGAGACTCTCATTCTGATAACCAAGGATTTCACATGCTGGTGTATAATTACTGCTGTTTTTGAGCATGTTGGCAAACCTAGTACCTTCTCTTTCTGCAAAAGCCATAAGAGAATCAGTGGGTGCTTTATGCTATTCCCACAAGAAGAAACTTGCTTACATTCATAATAATATTCTTCCATGTTTAAGATGTATCTTAAGTTTCCTCAAAAATTGTTTGTGTCTATAGTTTTCTCCCCATACCCAAAATATCACACTCAGAAATAGATGTTTGTTTAGTTGATATATATTAAATAAACCTGCAGTTATTAACTTAAAACTTTCTGTAGACTTTAAAATCATTTGGGGAAATTTTTAAGAATTTTCTTCTGTGTAGAAGATATTTTACTTTTCTCATTTTTTGGAATTTCAGCTCTTTGATTGGCATATACAGCTTGATAAATCTCTTCCTGCGCCTCTGGGCACTATAGGTGCCTGGCTGTACAGGGCAGAGGTGGCCCTGAGAGAGGAAATAACCATTCAGCAAGTCCATGAGGAAACAGCAAACACAATACAACGGAAACTGGAGCAACATAAGGTAAAAATTCTGGTTGGAAAACTTTACAGTCTGACAGAAGCTGCAGTGGAGTCCTCTGAGACATCCATCAGAGACATCCATCTTAGGAGTTTTCTAATTTACACTTTCCTTTCTTGTACTAAGTCATGAAAATTCCAGTAGATTTATTTCCTGAGATATTTCCCACTAGCTCTGGGCCGTATTTTCAGCCATCTTTGTTATTTCTGCTGCTATATGTTATGTTCTAAAAGATAAGCTTACAGGTAGTATGGATTTACAGGTGATTGGCTCTTGACTCCATCCTCCAAGGAGACCAGGCAAGATTTCTTGGGACCTGGTACTGCAAGGTGGAGTGAGGAAGCTTTGGGAAGTGGTGTTGCTAGAATTTAATGGCACCTTAGTCATTTGGGACATTTTCAGTGTAGTGCATGTTCAGTTGTATATAAGTTCCAATGTACTCCTTTGCATTTTGTGATAATAAAGACCCAGCTAAAATGTTGTTGTTCATTAATGTAGTCATGCAATTTGTATTTGAGCTTCTGTTCCCCATTCTGTGTCATGGTGGTGAGATTTTACTCAATGTCCTGAAAACTAACTGATCAGCAGAAATTTCTATTCCTGACCACATATGGGCAATTTTTAGATCATGTATATTTTCTCCCAAATTATTGATATTTGTGTGTGTATGAACCTACAGTTTTTATTTAGTTACCCCAAGGAAATAGACTATTATTTATTCTAGACTAGATCAAAAGGCAAATTCATGACAAATATCATTTCATGCCTCTCTGGGACCTTATTTCTGGAGCTAGAGATATAGAAACACAGAAATCCCATGCCATTTACACTTCTGGTCCTTTCAGATCAGCACACTCAAACCCTGATTAGCCCGTCCAACATGACTGACAGCCAGATCCTAAGTCAGCTATAGACCACACTTGGGTCCTGCCTTCATTTATTCTTGGCCTTTTGGTGCCCGCAGAAACTCCTATTTCTTTTAATTTAAAATAATTTTAATTGACATAATAATTACATATACAATTATAAGTACAATGTGCTGTTGCAATACCTGTATCCATTGTAGAATGATCAAATCAGGGTAGTTAGCATATTCATTACCTCAAATATTTATCATGTCTTTGTGATGAGAAAATTGAAAATGCTCTCTTAACCATTCTGAAATGCATAGTATACATGGCTGTTAACTGAGGTCACCATGTCATGCTAGAGAACACCAGAATCCTCCCCCCATCTAGAACTTTGTTCTCATTGTCCAGGGTCTCCCTTTCCCCATCCATGTCCTCCATCCCAGGCCTCTGCTAACCACCATTCTACCCTGTACTTCTATGGGTTCAACTTTTTTATATTCTACCTGTCATTGAGATCAGTTGTACAAAATCATATGATATTTGTCTCCCGTTCCCCTTCCTCCCCCTCAATCCCCTTCATCTGGTTCACTCATCTGTCTTCTGTTTTGATGGAATTCCCTCCCTACCTTTTTCCTGTTTCTTCTCCTATTTTAAAAGGCATACTTGTTTCCTTGTCATTATCAAGTTCATTATACATTTCAGGTGTTAGCCCCTTATGCAAAGTATGATTTGAAAATATTGTCTTCCAGTCTGTGGGTTGTCTTCACTCTCTTGATTGTTTCCTTTGCTCTGCAGGAAATGTGGAGATAGATATGATCTCATTTGTCTGGTTTTGCTTCTGCTGCCTGTGCCTTGGGGTTCATATCTAAGAACTCATTGCCCAGGTCAATGTCATAGAGCTTTCCATAGGGAAGTTTTCTTCTAATGGTTATACCATTTCCTTTCTTATGTTTAAATATTTAATCCATTTTTGAGTTGAAATAAGGGTCCATTTTCATTCTTCTGTATGGATATCAGCTTCCCCAACACCATTTGAGTTCAGGCTTGAGATGAAATGGAGTTACAAGTTTTCCTAGTTTGGGCCACATTCAGACTTCTCAGAAGCATAGAAACATTAGGCCATTTTGAGACTCCTAATATATTAAAAATAGAAAAAAAATGCCAAATAATACCACTTAATAAATTAGCAATTAAGCATACGTAACATGTAATAATTTCTCTTCCTAGGTTGTGAGGGGAAAGGGAAAAAATTTAAAAAAACAAGGGAGAGAATTAAATTACAGCAGATGGGACAGAGAGAGAAGATGGGAGGGGAGGGGAGGGGGAATAGTAGAGGATAGGAAAGGTAGCAGAATACAACAGTTACTAATATGGCATTATGTAAAAATGTGATGTGTAACCGATGTGATTCTGCAATCTATATATGGGGTAAAAATGGGAGTTCATAACCCACTTGAATCTAAAGTATGAAATAGGATATGTCAAGAGCTTTGTAATGTTTTGAATAAAAAAAAAGAAAAAAATTTCTCTTCCTGTGAAACATGTAATAATTGAAACTATTTTAATTTCTGTGAATATTTGATACAGAAGAATTCATTTTTAAAATGTACTGTGTATACTAATTTTGAGTTGAATGTTAATTCAGCAAAATGAATACCATGGGTTAGCTCTGTGCCGGATTTCAGCACAGGACAAATGGGTGCCCGGGACAGATAAGGCCCTGGTACTTGTGGTGCCTTTAAACTGAAGGTTTGAGAAACACTGGTGTGCTTGTTGTTTACATAGTAGATTTATACCACAGGGAAAATGTTCAACAATGCAACTGCCCTATTTGCTAGATAATTGTAGGGTTTTATAGGAATATCAATTCAAGGTTCACTGTAGATGACATCAGGCCCTGACAGGAAAGCTTTAAGTTGGATGATGTGTGTACTAATCTGTATACTTAAGTGACTGTAGAATTTGAAGCCCTTTCTGGATCCCGGAGAGAGAGAGAGGTAGAGAACGAGACACAGAAAGAGGGACAGATCTAAGAGAAGAAGGAGAGACACTGTGCCAACTGCCTGCATTACAAGTAGAGGAGTCTCTCTACTGGAGTGTAGTAAATAAGCCACATTAACCAGAAAAGAAGTCGAGCTGGGAGACAGTAGTGAGAGAAGATGGTTATCTGAGATTAACAAAAGGACAGAAAAAAGAGAAAACTGGGCATGCAATAGAGACAATAGGAAGCAAGCAAAGGCAAGTAGGAACAAAGGCCAGGTTCAAGGTGAATCTCTGAATCATTATTTTATTGAGACAGAAACTTTTACTAGGCCTGGGCACAGTTACTTAAAATAGCACAATCCTGATACAATGAAATTATCAATTACAAGATCAATTCTAATTTGTTCAAAAATACATTTATTTGTTAAATGTCTCAGATAAGCTAAATTTTAAAAAGTGAGACATTTAAATCATTGCTGAGATGATTAAAATTCTAGGTTCCCTGAATAACATTAAATCAGGGTATCAGTTTGAATCATCTACCCTATACCTGATCAGAGATTCAATAATTTGAGAAAAGAGCATTATAGAACTTAATTCAGAAAAAGTAATTCCAAGTCTTGTCAAGAAAACTTAAACATGGTGTAATAATTTAGAATGTTTGGTTTTCTGCCCTCCTCACACATTTTTTAGAAATATAACACCATTTCATCACTTTTAATACATAGGCAGTGTTTGTAAATTGGATTCAGATCATTTCTAACATGCATGTTTCAAAGAGTTTACTTTGTGAATGGTTCTGCCAATTCTTTTTCTTTTTAGTATTTTTTGAAAAGTTAACTTACATTTATATCAGAATATATTTATATTGCAAAGCAAATTACACCCATACTATCTTTTCTATCTTCCAGATACCCCAGGGCTCAGTTATCTAGTAAAATAACAATGAACATCGTTAATTACGAGGGAGGATTTAACCATGTTTTTGGTCCTAAATATTTAATTTTTGCTGAATCCATAATGACATATTTGAGATAGGTAGTATCGTTGTCTTATGCAAAAGGCAGAGAGAGGTTAAGTGACTTTCCCAAGGCATCACAGCTGATAATCTCAGTTGTCTTGAGCATTAAGATTAAAAGGTGCCTGCAGAGCTATTGACTGTAGCACATGTAGAATGAGGTTTATTGGGAGTCTTATTGCTTTAACCAAGTAAGGCTTTCCAGTCTTAAGGAATCATGAGACTGGCTCTTAGACTCCATCTCTCCCAGGGTTGTCTCCCCTACCTAGGTTACTCTTCTTCCTTTGTAGATGGTGCTTAGTGTTTAGTGATCTCAGGAAGCCACAGGTGGTTCTCCCAATATCCTGGCCTCTGAGTACCTTGACCATCTCCTCCTCGTGACCGTGTCCTTTGTGCCACCTTCACTGCCCACTCCGTGGTCACAGGTGGCAGTGGTCATCATCAAGAGCTGAAACCTCCACCCCGCTTTGCCGAGCATCTCTTCTGCCACAGGTGACTTCACCCTCGATGACCTCTAAGCCACTGATGCTCTGGCTTTTTCCGGCGTCCCACCCTCTTCATTTCACCCCTGCCCTCTGGGCCCTTCCCTCAGTGTTCAAAAGAGTCGCCCCTTGTGCATTTCTCAGTCCCTTATGCATATCTCACTTTGTCCTACTATCCTGGTTTAAAAAAAAAAAAAAAAAAGTCCTGGCAAAAACCCACCTCTGCCTCTGCCTGGTTCGTCCCCCACACATGGAGCTGACTGTGGCTGGAGAACAACACCCCCCACCCCCACACAGTGACTAACCCACCTGGGCCCTCAGGCTGGTTGGCTCTCCCAGGGCATTTCCCAACTCACTCCTCCATTTCTGGGACAACTATTTTATGCTTCCTTTCCCCAAGCCTTCCACACCTCCTCCCCATCCTCATTCTTAGCTGTTGACATTGCTTCCTATTTCTCTGAGAAAATAGAAGCCACCAGAAAAGAATTTCCGCAGCTCCCACGACCACATCAGCCCACCTACTTGCATCTGTGCCTGAATACTCGGTCTCCTTCTCCACTCCTGTTACTATGGATGAACCATCTGTGCGCCCGGCTCAGGCCAATCCCTCTGGAGTGCCTCCAGCCCATCCTCCCTCTCCCTCCAGGGGAGAATTCCTGTCCTGCTTCACTTTACTTTCTTCCCCCTCAATCTCTGTTGGATTCTTCCTATCCACAAATAAATGCATGTCGTTTCTCTCATCTTAAAAAATCACTTTCTTAATTCTACCTTTCCAACTGCCATTCAGTTTTACTTCTTTTTACTGAAAAAAACTTTTAGAAAGTTTCAAAATCTTCTTCTCCCATTCTCTGTAGAACCTATTCCCAAACAGGCTTTTCTTCCCCTTGTTACCCCGGACAAGTTGACCAGGGTGTGTCTTGGTCCTCATAATGGCCAGTTCTCAGTCCTTATCTTTCCTCACCTGTCAGAAGCACTTTACATGGTTGTTTCTGCATTCATGAAATTCTTTCTTCATTCGGGTTTCTACCTATACCCCTGGCTGTACCTTTCTAATCTTAATTGAATTTTCAATAAAATTTAAATGAGCACTTGTTACATGAAAATAGTGCTCTAAGCATTTGTGAAATATCCATAAGCAATAGAGACAAAGGACTCTTGCCTTATATAACTTAACTTCCGGTGGGAGAATGCAAACAAAAATAATAAACATAATAAATAAAATTAGGTTAGAAGGTTAAAAGCATAGAGAATTGGGTATTGTTGCAATTTTAAATATGGTAG